GCATCGGCAGGCGGACCCTCAACAACTGCGCCACCAGGGAAGCCCGATGATGAGGATTTTTAATTCATACTTCCCTCTCTCCCACCTATGGCAGCTGAGTAGGGACTGGTCCTCCAAAACTCTCTGAGAAGACTAGAAAAGGGCTTAAATTCTCAGACAACTCTGTAATTAAAGTGTCTACCTTCGCTTCCTTCAAAAAGCCCCAAGGGAGTCCTGAAATCTGAGTCAAGAATCCCATCCTCTTTGGCCAGACCCTGTGCTCCTGCCTGGGTTGGAGACCAGTCTTGGGTCTGCATACCTTCTGATTCTTTCATCCCTGACTTACCCAAAGTCAGATTTAGAGGTTCTGTGAATTCAGGGGCAGAGAGTGGTTGGCAAGGGGCACAATACCTGCAGCTTTCTGCAAGCCCACAGGGCACCCTTACGCCAGCTGACTTTCAGTAAATCAACCCCATTGTTACCGAGTCCAAGCTCGCTGCATGACAGGCCAATAAATTGGGAGATGAGGTGTTGAGGCAAGGAACAGTGACTTTATTCAGAAAGCCGGGTGTTTGAGAAGAGGGCAGACTAGTGTCCTAGAGTACCATCTTATGAGGCCTGGATGCTAGTTTCTTTTATAGAACAGAGAGGGGGAGGATGTGAGGAAGTAAAGTAAAAAGGCCATAAGTCTTGCAAAACATCTCCTGGCTTGGCCAGCATCGGGGAGGGGGTGTGTTAATTTCTTCTTTCTTGCAGTCCTTCATGGGTGGACGGGCAGGATGTTTCCCTGTGAGCTGAACAAAGGCACTTTGGTTTAACATTCAGTCAGAGGGGCAGGGTTCCCCACGCAGACCATTATGTATGCTTATAGCTATAGATAGCATCCTTTTAGTGATTATAGTAACAAAAGCAAGGGAAAGCAAAAGTTAACATAAAAGAAACAGATCCAACATGGAGTCAGATTTTGTTCTTCCCTGTTACACCATCACTCCCCAGCAGGCCAGCTGCAGAGGAGGAAAATTCCTTAATTGGGTAAAGCAACATGAACTTGTAGCCAAGATGTGCATGTCTACCTTTGGCAGTTTTGAGCTTAAAAAAAAAAAAAAAGGTGTCCCTAGATCTCTGCAGAGCCTTGGTCCTTAAGCTGAAGCATTCAGCAGCATCCCTTCCCCCACCCCTCCCATGTTTTAGCATATCTGTGGTTTTTCAGGGGCTGAAATGTTGGGTAAAGTTCCAGTTGTCACACAAACTGCCCCAGCTACAGAGAGTTTGTCGTCCATCAACCTTTCTAGCAGTGGTGAGGTGTTGGGCTGCTGGTTTTACCTTTGTTAGATCCTTTGCCGAGGTAATCAGGAATTCCAGAATCCCAAGCCCTCTGGAAGGTCCCCACAGGGTTCTTTACAGGCATTAGAGCTGACCCTCTCCGGAAAAAATCCCTCCTCTGGAATCATTCCAGAAACACAGAAGGGAAGTTGGTGAGTGCTTGCTATAGCACATCCATGAGTTCCTTCTGTCCTGATGACCCAGGGAAGAGAAATATCTCTTCTCAAAAAGACCAGGATGGTCAATGATGGAACAGGGAGTTCCCTGTTCCTGGTGGGGCAGTGATCTAGAAGTACTCTGGATATGGGCTGGGAAGAACAGGTGCCTTCTAGAACCGCCATGAGCTTCTGCAGACATTGCCAGCCATCATGAAAAGATCTTCCATTGATTCTAGAATGTTCCAGCAGTTGCAGAAAGCCAGCCCCCCTTTTTCTCCAAGTCTAGCCAACTAGAATCACTCTAGAAATGGATGTCCACCTGCTGCAGGACCACCAGCTTCTCCAGAAGCTGCTGGGCTTCCAGAGATACATAACACTGGCCCTAGGTTGATCAGACTATTTCAGAAAGTCTCCCTGCTGCTCAATGCTCAGCCAATGTCTGGAGTGGAGTCAGGTCTGCATTAATGCCCACCCACTCAGGCAGGAAGGCGGCCTCGGGTTTAAAGATATTCAGGAAGCTGGAGTTAGGCAGGGTGAAGTTGGCCAGGTAGATGGTGTTTCCACCAGCCAGGTAGGCGGCCCAGAATCCGAAGGTGCCAATAGTCATGATGGTGTGGTTGCATTGTGTGAGCAGCACAAAGTCTTTGCTGGGGGCACCTTCTTGCCCATCGCCAGCGAAGATCACATCCCCCCGGGAGGTGTCGATGTTTTTCCGGCACCACTCCATGCCGTTGCTGGTGACCACAAAGATCAGGGCTTCATGCCGGGCCCGGAACCAGTCCATAGCCTGCTGGAGGTAAGCGCGATCACCCACTACACCCTTCCAGTGATAGGGCATCACCTTCAGGTAGTCCCCACGGCACACGTGGACACCCACGAAGGTGCTCGGGCGGCCCCCCGTGCGGCTGAGCCGAAACTGACTCAGTAAACTCTGGGCCTCTCGCCGAAGGTGGTCGTGCAGGGTGAACTCACTGCGGATCTGTTCCCGGAGATGATGGAAGAAAGTCCAGGAGCAGGGGAAACCGCTGAGCTTCAGCCAGGGCTCCTTCAGTTGGGCGTACTCCTCCGACATCCAGTCGTGAAGCTCCAGCTCTCGCCAAGGCGTACGGTTGTTCACCTCAGGCGCCAGCACGGGCAGGGTGATGCGGAACACGGGGGCCAGGGTGGCGTGCATGGTAGGCTGGATGAAGGCCTGGCGGCTGTTGAGCTGGGCCAGGGCCAGCAGCGTGGCGTACTGCCCCATCTGGTTCCCAAGCCGGCCGTTTGGGTAGATAGTCCAGGTTCCTGAGAGGGAAGCGGGATGCTTGGGACAGGAAAAAGAGGCGCTGGGGTTTATGGGTGTGCCCGACAGGCAGGTGATGGCCACAGGGGATGTCACTGGGTTACGGTCTGGGCATAGGGCAGACAGGCCTAAGCCATTGTGAAAGAGGTCTTGGTGGATGTGGAGAAAGAAGACTGAGGTAAAAACACAGGTTAGCAGGAAGGTCAGACAGAGGTGATGGAGCCTGGGTGCCCACATGGCTGCAAGGGAAGAAAAAGTGAATTACGAGATACTCGAAGCTTGAGAATGAATGTCAAGGAGGAGAGGCCTGAGAGAATGAGGAAACTCTGGGTTTGGAGACCTGGGTCTGAGGGAAAAGGGGATCAGGGCTCCTGGATCTGAATTAGGAGAAGCTAAGGGCTTGGAATCTCGGCAGATGGAAGATGGTGAAAATGAGTGGTTTCCAAAACAGTAATGGTCCAGGTCCCACCACCTTGTCCTCACATCTTGGAATTTCACTCTCCCAGGCAGTAAGGTCCACTGACGTTGGACAGTGTTCCCCCAACTCCTTTCTCAGTGAACCTGTGTGTGAGGGGCAGTGTCCACCAGGGAGGTGGCAGGAAGCAACAGGCCAAGTAGAACATGAGAGGCTGGAGGTCCAGGCCTGGATGGGGGATCTTGTTTCCTGGAGAAGCAGGAGTTGGGGCTCGGGGTGGAGGAGGCTCCTGGAGGTCACAGGGGGTTAGAGGTTGGCGGAGCGCCTCCTGGGACTGAAGGCCCGATTCCCGGGTCCGAGGCATCTGCATTTCTCACTTACCTGAGCTCCACAGTCAGCTTGGCGTGAACGGAGCGTTCCGGCCCGAAGTGCAGCCCACATCCGGCGGCCCCCGGAACCCTGGACTCCAGGTTCCCAGGCCCGACAGCCCTCCCCCTCCACGCCGCCTCCCCCGACTGGCTGCGAGGGCTCGGGAAGGGGAGGTAGGAGAGGGGACGCTGTCCGGAGGATCCCAGCCCCGCCCCGCCCCGCCCCGGCCGGGAGGTAGCT